GGGAGGAGAGGGGGCTGCAGCCTCTCGGGGGCTCAGCCCCTCTGCAGAGTCGGAAATGTGGGCATCTTCCGTCCCGAAACATGCCCCCTGCCTCCCCCCGCACCCGGCGCCCAACAGCTGAAGGACTTCTGGCATTAGCACTTCATTAAACCCGCCCCGCGCTTCTAAGAGTTAAAAAAAAAACCCCACAAGCGCGGCGTATGATTTATTACGAGGAGTCTTTGCTTTTTAACCTGTTTCCTCTCCTCGATACTTTTTAGGCGCAAAGACGTAGCGGTATATCCCCGGAAGATTTATAGCCTCTTTTAGTCAAACACCAGGCCCCGTCACCTTTATTTTCCAAAGGGAGAGGGCGAGCGTGGGGCTGAGGAGGAGGGACACATCTGTTCGTATGAGCGTCTGATCCTTTTTCTGCTGGAAGAATAATAGCAAGTCACCAAGCATCAGGAAAACCACAAAAGGAACTGCTTATTCATTTATTCTTGAGGAAAAAAAAATATTTGAAATGAACGGAGCAGATTTGGACTTCTGGTTCAAGCAAAGAAACGTTTCTTTAAATGATGTGTCCCCTGTGTGCTATCTAAGAGGCACTCCTGCTTTAACGGTAAAAGTGCTTACGAAACTTATATTAAAGTTGGGCTGAGCTAAAGAATTCATTTTTACTGCATCTGAAACTTCCTGCCATCATTTACCGCTGGGGTATGAATATGTATATTGGAGTCTGACCACTTGTCAAACATTTTGAATGCCCATGTCACTAATTTCCAAAGTTGGCAGGTTCAGTGAAACAAAAGGAACAAAGTGTGCTGTGTACCAGCAATAAAACTGGGCGCCCAGAACCATCTATCAAGACCTTAGACTTCTGGCCAACCCCTAAATACAGTCCACAAGCACAATATTTGTGTTTGTTTTTCTTTTAACTAATCCATTCTCTCTTTTTTTTTTTCCCTCTGACCCAATTTTTTTTCTGTTTTGATTTCTTTAAATATACCCAGAACTATCAGATAGGAAAAGCAAATCAAAAAAATTGCATAAATGCAAAATATTTTTCATGGCTTTTTAACAGGTGTAGGTACAGAAATAACAAAATCGTATCTTAGAGAAAAAAAAAATGGATTTTGAACGTGAAGATGTGATACCCTGTCTTCTTCTGCATTTTCATTTTGAAATGATGATGTGAATTAAACTTGTACCAGCTGTCCTGACTCTGAGTTCCTAGTTTTTATAGGCCAATGTTAAATATTAATATAGTTTTGCATTTACTTCACTGTGGTTTTAGAGCAAACATAACCTCCATGGAATGTTTTAAAATGTATGGCTTTCAAAGGCCTAATCCAGCTTCCAGGAAGGTCAAAAGGAATCTCTTTGTTGACCAGGATGAGGCTTGGAGCAGAGGGGGAGCTCAGTAAAGCCTGCATGGTACGTTTAGCTGTCCTCAGGTGCAGAGGACAGAGAGACAACGGATCCCTCCTGTCAGAGCTGCAGGAACGCCACATTTGGTAGAAATTGCTGAGTAAATGTGTTCATAAGAATGTTGATTTTCCTAATTAAATCACCAGCTCCTGCCCCACCCCCCCAAAAAAAAGAAGAGGTCTGAAAAAAATCCTCCTGAGATATATGTATTTTAGATATTAAGCTACTGCAAGAACTGCAGAGACATTCTTCTAGGGGGAGAAAGCGGGGGAAATCTACAGGCATCAGCAAGATTTTGACCTGGTTTGTTTCTCCTGGGTTGCATCTCTAGAGCTTGGATCGTTAATAAAAGGTTTGTCTTTGTGCCCCCCTTTAGGCAGAGGGGGGGACACTTTGCTCCCCTCATGTGCGACCCGATGGCAGCTGGACAGGGTCTCCATCAAACAGGCACAATCGCCCTTCTCTTTATTTTAATTCCAAATCGTCCCATCCTGCAAGAAAAATCCCGTAAGGGCTTAAGTATTTGCTTGAAAGTGCATGTGTGGGTGGTTTATTTTTGTGCGGATAAATGGCATTTCAATCACTCGAGTGGATTTATCTCACTTGTGCCAAATAAAAATCAGAGGCAGATTTTGGTACTGCTCTTGCACACACAGCGAGCCTTGAAAGTCTGAAGACACATGAGCAGTTTCCCTATGAACTGCTGAGGTCCTGACTGCCTTCTTTGGGCTTATTTTTTGCTTTCTCTGAAATATCAATGCAGTTTACAGAATGTGATGTGTCGTTGGTGGAGATGAACCAGGGTGTTCTGATCCAGAGAGACAAAACCCTTTGCTCTGCTCCCCTTCTGTAAAGGTTGCATCTGTGCAACCACATCCTTGAAGAACCTGAGATGCTAGCAGATTCGTTTGCATCTATTTATGTCATTTACTTTAAACTAAGCCCACAAATAAACAAGAATACAGGAAAAAAATGCCATGCAGACATGCAGAAGGTAAGCATCCTTCATTTGCAGTTAGAGGACATCAGATGGCTCCAAGTACCTCACGTCTAGACTGTTTTTTCTTGGGTAAGGTTCCTGCAAAGTACCCATGCTGACTTTGCTTATTATTTATTCTTAGTGAAGCCTACCAGCTTCCAGGTGATGTGTCATCATTAATTTTGAATGAAAAATGCTGTTTTTAAAAGCTCACATAGCTATTGCTCTAATTGCTGTTGTTTATAAAGCTTAGTATTAAAACTAATGAAGGTGAGATTAGTCATATAACGGGCAGACGAGATAATTTCATTGTAGTTTAAGGTATTATTATTTACTAAGGTTTTCTTGCTGTCCTCACAGCAAATCTATGGGGGGAGCACATTACAGTACTACTCATCTGCTTCGGTGCAAGATTTTTTTCTTAAATGACTTCTGAAATCATTGCATCCATGTACACAGTAATTACCTCACTTCTGCCAAATGGATTGATTGAAAGACCAGATATTAAAACCTCCTTAAACAGATTGCTACTGATTTTACTACACTCGATTTTCTTGGTTTGGGTGTTTGGGTATTTTCTCCTGTTTTCACTATGATACTTTCGGGGTTCCTTTAGAGTATAAAGCTAGTCAGTGACTCATGAAGCTCTAGCATGAGAGCTGATTGTATCACCACTTCAGGTGGGCACTACCAATGTTAATAAAGCCCTGAGGCTTTGGCTTTGCTGCTGGAGTCCGAGCAGAGACTGGATCTTCCAAACACTCCTAAATAATGTCACCCTTCTCTCTTGACTAGGGTAATGATAGATAGGCTCAGCTCATATCTTGTTTGAGGTAACCATCAGGATTGGTCATTTCACCCTGGCTCTTCATTAAATATTGTCTTTTATTTCAGAGAATGGAAAGGCTAAATTGAGTTACCGGCTTCTAAAAACAGCCTGGTACAAGCAGATTTCCATTTAAAAATAAAATTTAAAAATTACCATTGAAATTGCAAAGCCTTTAGCTTCGTGTGTTGCTTCATTAAGCACAGAAGGACTGTGTTGGATAAAATCCTGTACACTGCTCTCTAAAACTATATCCTTATTCTTGGCTGCTTATTGAGAAAGCCCTTCCTGCAACCACCGTGCTGGGAAAGCCACCTGCCAGGCCACAAGCATCCCTGTCACCTGCCAGGCCACAAGCATCCTTGTCACCTGCCAGACTGGGCCACACGCATCCCTGTCACCTGCCAGGCCACACACGATTCCATCCCAGGACAGCTGGCAGGAACGCCGGGATGTGCCTCAGCCTCAACCTCTCACCACATCTCCACTCCTCCTCTGGCCACGGAGCCCCATCCCATTGCCTGCGTCAGCAAATTAAGGCAGAGCTGTGAAAGCCATGGAGCATGTTGTGGTTGGTTGAATCAAGGGGAAACGTGCTTCTTTTCCTCTTCTTTCTTGCTTCTTTTTTAGCGTCCTTTCCTATCTGGGGAGGGAGGGATCATTCTGGAATGTTTTAGGTTAGGAGCTTCAGGCTAGGATAGTCAACTTGTTATGATTTATCTCTGAATAAATGTTTCTAATATGATTTATGATTTATTTCTGAATAAATATTTCTGGGATTTGACCAGTGCTGTGTGGTTTTTTTTCACCCCAGTCAGGAATGTCACCGTGTTTTCTGAAGTCTCTCGGGAATACCTGAGGGGTAAGGATATGTGGGCCAGCTATTAAAAGCAGCACCATTTACCCTTGCCCACAAACAACCCATCAAGAAAGCCAGTTTCAGCTTTTGGAGAAAGATTTAGAAGTCAGGCTACCTCAGCCTAATGACCGTCAAAGTAAGCAAGATTAGTCACGCTATAAATGCCTCAGGGTCACTGAAGAAGTAGGATGTTGGGTTATGGTATCTTGCTACGTATATAGGCATAGCACAGTAAAGTTCCCTAACCTGAAATCTGTAGCACCCCTGGGCAGAAGAGTTAGGTTCAGACTTCAGAAATCATTATTCTTCTTCTAAAGTATCAAGAGCATAAGATATTTTCAAGGCAGCAATGCAGCCAGTCCTGCTCAGGGAACGTATTATCCCAGCCACCTCCCATTTATCCTTTAGGAGATGGCTCTTGCCTTATACTTGAGGTCTATAGAGATCGTGTCACGAGAGATGAAGAGATTTCCTTACATACGGTAACTTACGTGCACCAAATCAAAGAATCACAGAATGGTAGGAGTTGGAAGGGACCTTTGAAGACCACCTAGATCATACAACCCCCTGCCAAAGCAGGTTCCCCCAGAGCAGGCTGGACAGGATCATATCCAGGTGGGTTTTGAATATCTCCAGAGAAGGAGACTCCACACCCTCTCTGGGCAGCCTGTTCCAGGGCTCTGCCACCCTCAAAGTAAAGAAGTTTTTACTCATCTTGAGGTGGAATTTCCTGTATTCCAGTTTGTGCCTGTTGCCCCATGTCCTGTTGCTGAGCTCCACTGAAAAGAGTCTGGC